CAATTTTCAAAAAGTTGGTTCACCAATGTTAGTTGATTATATAAATTTTCTGCTTCTTTAGGAATTTCGTTTCTAGAAAAGATGCCATGAAATACATTTGGTTGATAATTATCCTTTATATAATTCATATTTAATTGACCATTAAAAATTTTTAATGGACCAGTATTGCATTCCTGATTGACATCGATAGTGCTGTCGAATAAGTATAGAACAAGTTAGTAAAATTGATAAATTATCAATATAGTAAATAATTTACGTTACTATAATAATAAAATTACCAAACAAACAGCTTTAATTTTTGTAAAATCTCATCATCATTAATCGCATTATCTTTAAGATCATGAACAAATATGCAAGCTAAATTCCTAGAAGGAATAATATGCGAACCAACAACAAAAGTTGCTTGGGGTGTTTTAGATGGTGTTTCGAGTGCGCATGTACTCAATATACATGAACTACCAAATTTTGGGATTTCTATTTTATAATGTTTACCTACTTTATGAGAAACAGAGTATTTTTTACTATTGAGCACTATATGATATTTAGTATGGACAAAGTCGAAATCAAAATGATTTGGTTGTCCAACAATAATCCATCCAATTCTTATTGGATATTTATTTTGAGTATTTGTGATGTTATGAACCACAATCGCTGGGCTTTTTTCGTCATTAATATATTCTACTCGTAAAGAAAAAACACCATCGTCCTTGTTCATTATTGAAGCATATATGTGACAATCTTGAATATTTGTAACTTTAGTCAATTCCTCCAATTGTGGGGCTAATGAATAAATATAGAAATTTTTCTCAGATAAATCATGATTTAATGGAATTTCTTTAATGTCCACTATTAGTTAATGAAAATAATGATAATAGCTAGTCAGTATACTTACGTGACTGTAATAATTAAAATATTCATAAAATAAAATACCTTTCAAAATTCGATAACCTAACAGATCCAAAACTTTTTTCCTCAAATCATCATCTAATAGATCAAATATTGGACAAATGTCACTATATTCGATTATTCTCCATTTTTTAAAATCTTTGAGCAATTCCGCAAATTCTTTAAGAGAAGGTTGTTTACCAAGATTTCCTCCACCAACGATTCTTGGATTAGCTAAAAATATTTAAAATTTTTATTGTTAGATTTTAGAAATGGGATTTAATCCATTAATCATTAATTGGGGACCAACGTGAGATTAGCACAACTAATTATTGAAACTCTCCGCTTTGAAAATAATTTAGCTTGAGCATTAGGTCAACATAAAGTAGTATATAAGAATGTAATATTTGTTGTGCTATATAATACCAACTTCATTAAATTTTAAGGTTAGGATTTTTAAATCAAATTTTAGGTTTGACCAAACCTCACGTTGGTTTTCTACAATTAATGTTACTCACTTGAGTTTCCAGCACCTTTTTCTTCTATTATAGCTCCCCCGAAAACAATATGACGCGCATAAAAACAACCATATTCTTTTGTTATTTCGCGAAGGTCGTCCATATCAGAATTTTTTAATAGCGAGGAGGACAAAATTGAAGAATGCAAACGAGAATTGGATATTTTATGCTGCAGAAATCTTATTTCGTATAAAGATTCGATTTTACCTTGGCTTTCTATTTTTCTTGGAAAGTCAAAAGCTATTTCTCTGCAAAAACTTCAAAATCAAATGGCTAAAGAAATTT